TGTACATGCAGTGCTGCCATCTTCTGTTTCAGTCCGTTATTACACTCTTAAATCCTACTACTTATTCCTGCGTCTTTTGGGATCTTACAAAGCTTCAAACGACATCAGTTAAATCAGTCATCGACGATTTTAATAGTCGACGTAATCGTGACTAGTCGACTTATTGTGGCAGCTCTACTGTCAGCAGACGTAGGGCTGTGCGATATGACAAAAATGCCATATCCCAATATAAGACATTTATCGTCCTGACAACGATATAAATCACAAAAATGTAACATTTTTTGTAAATTCTGTGAATCTCGGGCAGCTCGACTTGCGTTTAGTTTTTCCAGCTGGGCGTCTTTTACCTGGATTCGAGTGTTTTAACTGATGCATGAAACGATACATTTTTAGACATAAGTTGTAACGGACGCCGTTGTCTTTCAAAGTTTGAGTCCAAGGTTGATGTTTTTTTAGCACATGACGGCTCTTTTTTTGCTTCTCCTCCGTAAACTCTCTGCATGCTCTTTCACGTGATTAAGTTTATTTTGAAAAGTCTCAACAGGATCTTGAGCTTTTATTGTGAAAGGTTTACATGGAAAACAAAACAAGCGGACTGCGGAGCCACGCGATGGTTTTACCGTCATTGTTGCTAACGACAACACGTAAAAACAGGCGCTTGTCCGTCCGTAGTGTGGTTATATTAAATATAAGAGAGAGAGAGAACTTTAATAAAGCTGCTACAGTGACATCAAAACCATGAAAAAATATTGCTGTAAACAGTTTATTTTCAGACACCACGAAACAAACGATAGCGTGATAGGAAACGATGTTTTTATATCGTCATCCGATATATATCGTTATATCGAACAGCCCTCAGCAGACGCTGCGTCTGCTCATCTGCTCCTTCACAGGTGACCTTGTGTGTCTGCTTCCTGCACAGGTGACGGTGTCATGGCTGCCTTCTTCACTGACTTACCCTCCTAAACATCTCAGGAACATAACCATCGTAGAAACTGCCCGTCTGAGGAATCGAATCAAACGCACACAGTACAAGACGTGCGTGCATGCGAGGGATGACGACCTCCCATCTGAATGGCCATGTTGCTGGAGAGGGAGGAGGAGGAGGAGATGAAGAGGCGAGGGGAGGACAGCAGCACCGAGAAATGGCCGTAGACTGTCCGGGAGACCTGGGCAGCCGAACGCTGCCTCTGCGGCGCTCCGCTCAGCTGGAGAGGATACGACAGCATCAGGTACACAGAGAAACCTGCGTGGGCGGGGCCTTTATCTTCAGGTGTTCAGTTTGGGGCTGTGCATGTTTCACTGACAGGTTTCGTGTAACGACAGCGGGATGAAAGCACGCCTGAGCTAACCTGTGCAGCGAAGCCTCCGAGGCTCAGCTTAGCCAGCGCTCAGAGTTCCTGCAAACACATCTCTGATAGTTCAGTGCAGGAAACTTCACTAAGTGCATTGTGGGTAAACTGTCAGGCTGATTTGAGCGTGTGGGGGAGGTGTCGGCTCAGAACGAGCTGCAGCCAAAACAACACCGAGGTTTAGTTTCCTCGAGTGGCGTGGGATTGCTGCGGCTGCTTCTTCAGTCCTGAGCATCGTCAGGTTTTACCTGGTGTGGGTTTCATTTACATAACACGCTCACGTGAGCCAATCACAGCTCAGCGTGCAGAGGACGCCGTGTGTGCTCTGATGCATGAGGCATATGGAGGGCCTCCTGTGTAACTTCCTCTGCTCTGTGTTTGTGTGTCAGGAGGACCTTCGGCGTCGCAGAGAAGAGGAGGGTCGGCAGCTGGATCTGAACGCCTCACTCAGACTCAGGAACCTCTCCCAGAATCCCTACAGCGGGATCGACAACCCCACATTCCTGCAAGACACACCACAGCTGCCAGCGCTCAGCAGCCAGCACACACACGCACTGCTCGGTAACACACACACACACACAGCAGTTATTACTGTGCAGATCTGAGGGGTCAAAGGGCGAGGAGGTGGAAGTTAAAGAGATGCTGACGGCGTTGAAAAAGGAGGAAAGTGAGCAGGAATGTCAGACGCCAGTCAGGGAGGGAATTCCTCAGGGAGGGAGTGAAGCACCCGACTTAATTAAGAGTTTGTTTGTTGGGCGGCGGCGCTGACACACACAGGAGGACACACACAGGAGGACACACACAGGAGGACACACACAGGAGGACACACACAGGAGGACACACACAGGAGGACACGCTGTTCGTCTCAGGTCAGCTGTGTGTGTGTTTGCTGTGAACACGTGTGTCTCTCTGCAGAGTTGGAGGAGCTGCTGCTGTCGCTGAAGCAGGTCCGGGGCAGCCTGTCGGACCAGCAGAGTCACAGTGACATCGAGTTGGTCCTCGCTCTGCTGAACAAGGTAATCTTAGCGGCGAGGCCTCGGCCCGCTGTGTAATTGTGGCTTCTTCGTGAGACTGTGCGGTCAAAGACTCGTCACTGCTGTCTGAGCTGCAGCTTTGTGGTCTCGCCTCGAGGCTCTCTGCTGACCCAGGGCGACTTTTAGCTGCTGCGTCCTGATGCGCGGTGAGAGACCCTCGGGCTGGTGGTGACTCTGCAGACGCTCTCACACGCTGCAGGTGTGCACTGACTGTGTTTGTGTGCTTTTCTGAGCAGCAGACACAGACCTGGCAAAACGCACGTTTCAGTGCACGAAACGGGAAGAAGGAAAAGGCTCGCCGCTTTCTTTGACCGTGACCACGGGGTCACGGGGTCACAGCGTCAGCGCCGGGTTGCACTGGCGTTTGAAAGCTGTCACTCAGCAGGGTGACACCTGCAGTGTGATTGGTTTCTAACAGCTTTAATTTAAATCATCCTTCCAGCCTGTAAAGTGGTCATCGTGACGCCGCCTGCCCGCCGCTCTGTTGCACTTACAGCTGCAGAAACACGGAGACGTGAGGTTTTTAAAATCCGCTCAGAGCTTTAATCTTTGTCACAAAGCCGTGTGGAGTCATGTGGCTGTTTTCAGCCAGTCAGATGCATGAAAGCGCATTCCTGCGATGCTTTGGAGTCAAAGTCGACCCTCCTGAGTCGTGCTTCAGAGCCTCGCCGCTGCCTGAAGCCGTTCGCCCACATAGAGACGTCTGATCTCCAGCCTGAGTGGTTTTTGCTCTGCTTGTTTTATTTCTGCCACACGGATTAGTGCAGGACTTCCTGTGAGCTCATTAAAACAAACTGTACCGATCATTTGAGGAAACTCGCGCTCTGATTGGACTCGTATTTCCTCGCAGTCATGAGCTGAACCGAGGGTTTGTTTTCACAGCGTCGCTCTGCAGCTGCGTTTAATGACAGAGCGACGCTGCCTCTGCTTCACAGGTTTTATCTCTCAATCTTTCTCTTCTGGTGACATAACCTGACTTCCAGCATGAAGCAGACCTGATGCAGAGCAGCCTGTAGCTTTACTGTAGCTTTACTGTAGCGTCTGTTTTCACCTGTGCATGTCTCACCTGTAGCTCACCTGCAGGTGATAAACGAGCGTCTCTTTAAAAAGTGCTGCTGTGTGGTGATGCAGCATCAATCTCATTATTATGATAACGTTCATGTGGAAATGAGCTCAATTTGCCCTCGACTGTTGCGAGCTCTGAGGATACCGAGGTACCAAAGCTTGGCCATCTTTATGCTCGACTCGCCGTCCACCTGAGTGACCTGTGGGTGGGTTAACAGTCAGAGGTCGACACTTCAGTCATGAAACTGGAGCTTTTGCTGACTGTGAACTCTGTTTGTGAGGATTTAAATCAGCTTTCGACTCAGCGCAGCGTCGAGTGGGAATAAATGACAGCTCAGAGTCGCTGACGTCTGTGTTTTTCTCTCTGCAGTCGGACTTCCAGTCGGCGCTGAAGATCCACAATGCCGTGGCCAGCAGCATGCACCGACCGTCTCCACCGTACCCCAACACGCAGCAGGCGCTTCCACTCGCCATGGAGGTAACACGGCTGTATTTGAACTGCGGTAATGGAGCAGAAAGTTCAGCTTCATCGGTCTGGATGTGAACTAAACACTTAAAGCTGGTCTTTAATAGTCGATCCTTATTTCTCACCTCTTTGTGCTGCAGATCAAACTGAGTTAGTGTTTGTCCAACGCTGCTGTGAGGGGGCAGCACAGCGCGACACTGTAGTGTGTTTGTAGAGCTGCAGTAGGTCACACTGTTTCCTGCAGGACCATTTTTAATTCACCAACATCGTTCATGATCTTTCTTTTCCTTTGCAGTCACACAGGTGATCGATCAAACAACACCTGATCGATTCACTTGCAGTGAAACTAACAAACTCAGCTGAAACAACAAAAACAACAAAAGTGTTGTACGTCGGACTCTCTATGTGCTCCGTGATGTTCTGCCTGACGTCTGTGTCTCATCCACATTTGTGCTGGGATCAAACTTGTGTGGTTCCCTTTCCCACTGAGCCCACGGTCTTCCTGAGGGGCGGGGTCTGGTTCATCACACCGTCGGTGACTCTGGGAGGTTTCCCACGTGTCGCGAAAGCGAGGCTAAGCTCGGTGCTGGGGTTTGCGCTCCTCGGACCTCGTTTCAGAGGCAGCTCATTAAAAGCAGCACATCATCCATGTTGGCGTCTCCGCCCCGCATTCAGCTTCCAGAATCAGAGAGAAAAGACGAGCTGGCGTGCACGCCGTCCTCACAAACATGCTGCATCAGGAACGAAGCAGAAACGTGCAGCAGTGCAGGAGGATGTTTCAGTGCAGCACACCGCTGGTCACTGTTAATACAACAGAAATATGAGCGTGAGAACCGATCTGTTAAAGTCCTTACTCACTGCTCGTGCACGTACCGAAGGTTTCCTCCTCTTCTTCTGTTCTTCCTCACGTCACCCCAACGCTGATCAGCTCTGTGTGTGTACAGTAAGTACTCCATCAGTTTTTACACTCTGCAATCTGTGTGATGTCACGGAGGGCTGAGCCACACCCACTGCTGGTCATACATCTGTAGCAACTAGAAGAGCATGGTCTTAAAGGGGGAGGAGCCTGTGTCAGTCAGAGACATCGCCGAGGCCGGAATCAGACAAAGAAGGATTATTATGAGCTGTGAATCAGGCAAAGCTGCTCTAAAGCTGGAAATGAGCAACTTTCAAACCCACTGAACTGTAACACAGACGT